CGTTATTCGGAGCCGATATCATAATGCTAATGAAGGCGGGTGGCGACTAAATGAACAGATGAATACGAACGAATATAGCATTAATAACAAATATTCACTGAGAAAATAACTTAGAGATAAGATGAAAGTCAAATTGAAAGGAAGTGAAGCAGAGGAGGATAAAATCTTAACAAGCTAATTGGACAAAAAAGAGGTCTTTTTTAATGGGCAATAGATGTCAACTTAGTCTCAACCCAGCAAAGAAGGCCAGTATATAAAAGCACGGTATCCATAGGGGAATGTTAAAGCTCCGTCCATATGGTTGCAATATAAAGTAGTATAAAATGATCGTTTGAAGAAGGCAGGCAAGTCTGCAGACAAGCCGCCAGTAGAATATGAAATTGAGGCGTACGCAGAGCATTCAGATAGCAATAGAAGCCTCTAAGTAAAAATAAATTGATATGAATTAACCATATTCGTAGATTATTAATAAAATGTCTATGCTGCTTGTTGTGCCGAATCGCATTAAATATAATTTACTGGTAGATTTGAAACTCTACTTAAATACGAAAAATAAGTAGCGTATTCGATTGGAATAGCAAATATACGTTTGCTTCATCGACAATCCCACCAAAGAATAGGATATGGTAAAAGGCCTGGCCTTCGTTAAAATTCACATTTGCCCTGTGACCCAAAGGCACTCGTGGCAATTTGACCAAGTGGTTAACATGTCTGCATTTTCATGGTTCGACTCCCGCTGGGGGTGTTGGTAAGACCGATACGAGGTCAAAACTGCAGTCCACCTTGGATGATAACACTTTTGGGAAAGCAAGGCTATGTGAAATTTAATGGAAACGTCAGTTCTACTCATATCATTGTAGGAAAATTCTACGGCCAATGCTTCATCACCTTAAATGAAATTGGGTGAATTCATCTCATAAAACAAAACTAGTCTTCGAATATCTCTTCAAACAAAAGAAGAGGTACTGCGATCTCAATTTTGGACGCAGTCTCCTCACGCTGTATAGAATTAGCCTGACCTCGTTTGTGTAACTTGGCCGTGGTATGAATAAGAGCAGGAATATATATATATATATATATATATGATTACCAATTGAGTCAACATAGCGATGCTGGAAATAATCATAGCTATTATGGCTTAAAAATGTGATTAGTATATTCCACGAAATTCATGGCTGAAACCAATATAAATCTAACATATCCATTGCACCAAAGACTATCCTCCAAACCTAAAAGGAAATAAGCAATAATATGAGGTGGTGTGGGGTAGTGCATTACCTCAGCATCCTGGTTTCTCTCGATAGACGGGGCAATGGTTGCCGACCCTCCTAGTTTAGCGATTCTGACTTGTTCCACATATCCAGGTCTAGGGACTGCAAGATCAGCACGCATGGACTTGCCCCAGTGAGCGACTTCTCGAGTCTTCTCATTCAGCCCCGTTAAATGCGACAGAAAAACAGCCTTTGGCTGAACCATTGCTTCTGCCGTAGCATTATCATTCCTTGTCTGCAGTAGAAGAGTTTCTGACCCTGAGACCACAGATAGCTTGTTAAGTTTCGTTGCACCACTTTCATGCTTATCTACAGTAGCTTCTTCTCCAGCTTGGTCTTTATCATCGTTCTCATTATTATTATTATCGCCGTCATCATTGTGGTAGACATCGGCTGATCTGCAAGACTGATCTTCTTGACTTCTAACGCTTGGCTTCGAATGATTAATCCTATTTATCTCGGGCGAGGAGTCAGCTTCGACTGGAAGCAGTAAGGCAACAGCAACGCCCGTTCCACCCAGGTCGTCATCATCCGTCCTGGGACGACCAAAGAAGGATTTGCCTATAATATGCTTTCCCTGGCCCCCCAGAGACTCAGAAAGTTCGTTCTCATCGTCACCACTCTCCTTGGATGTAGGTCCAGCAGCAGTCACTGGTGTATCGCAATAACCAGTTAGGTTCTGAAAGATGAAAAGTTACTAGTGGTAAAAAGTAGTAACGACTGTTGCAAAGATATATTACAAGTTTTTAGAAGGAAAATTTACTCTGGGAATATTCTAATATACAAGTTTCTATCTGGGGATCATACTCGCTTAATGCCCGAAAAGTATTTAGACAATAGAGGACACATAAGTATAAAACAGGTGACAGTTCTAAAGATGTTTTAATTGATGATGCATGTTGTAGAGTTTATTTGATTAAATTATTAACTTATATAACGCAAATAATTGTTTTGCGCAAGGCAAAATAATAACAACGCAGCACACTTTATCAAATGAGCCAACGATGGCGTAGTGCACCTCTCTCTCTCTAAGATGAAAAAAACGTGAATATATCAACTGATGGATAGTACTATGTCTTAACTTTTACTGTTTATTATATATTACTATATAATGTTTTGGACAGTTAGATTGGAGTAAGATACTGAAACGATGAATCAGCAAGCATCTGTCCACAGCATTCTAGAGTAATAGTTGTAGTGTAAATGTGCATAAAGTCACTATATTCGTAAATGATTAATAAAATGTCCATGTTACTTGTTGTACCGGATCGCATCAAATATGACATTTTAGAGTAAGGCAGATTTGTATATTCAAAACAAAACTAGTCTTCGAATATATTTTCAAACAAAAGAAGAGGTGCTGCAGCCTCCATTTTGGACGCAGCCTCATCTCGCTGTATAAAATTAGTTTGACCTCGTATGCGTAACTTGATCGTGGTATGAATAAGAATAGGAATATATATATATATAATCATAACTATTATAGCAGAAGATGGGGTAGGAAGTTCATCCTTCGATGACTTCCTGATAGCAAAAACAAGTTGCGAAAACGAGGTCAGACTAAAAGAAGGGAGGAATAGTTTCGCAGATGTAAATTAAATATATGAATTAAGCCCCATAGCATATAAGTCTAGTTTTATAAATTATTACAAAAAGCGTTTGCATAGATCATCTTGTTCAATCAAAAAATTTATTTACATGATCCTGACAAGTGCTTGGATCATAACAATCCATTCTTGGATCACGGCTAGAGCCTCTCATTAAGCAGCACAATCTACTGATCACTGGAGCTGCTCTGCTCGAAGTAGCTAGTCCTTCCTCCGGAAGCCTGACACTACAGTCTAACGAAGTGATGCTACGCTGTTGTCGCCGACGAAAACAATATACAGTAAGAGCGATCCCGATGAACAAAGTCATTGCGATGCCAGCAACCGGGCCAACCGGGCTGTGTTGTGATGATGAGCTACCCTGAGCGATGTTCAGTCCACCAGCGATACCGTTATTGTATAGACCTATAATGCTGCTACTATATAGGCCGTAATTGGGATTACCAGAATACCCAGTGTAGCCGCCATCATAACCAGAAGAGACAGGAGGAGCACCCGGCCAGACCAACTGTGCTTGAGGCCGATAAAGCTGCGGATAGGTTTGACCTGTGGGAGTCGCTGCAAGATAAAAGGGTTGAAGGAGAAGAGAAGCCGCCTTGTGTCTAGAGTCGGTCTCATGGACGACCGCTGACTGGGTGGCTGGGTCTAAAGGTAGAGGGGAAAACGAAGAACCGGATTGGCCGGCTGCAGGGCCTGCGAGATACCGAGTGGCCAGATAATACACAGAAGCAAACAAGCCGTTAGGATGTATCGGTTGTGCAGGCTGAGTATGACCAAAAGAGCCAAAAAGTTGATTATGCCGAGGTGAAGTATGATGGGTTTGCAGACCAGGTGGAACAGGAGAAAGACCGCCGATATGTGACCATGACGGCGGCCAAACGGACCTAGTGGGGGTGCCAAGCCAGTCCTGGGCGTACGGAAGAGTGGGGAAAAGTTCGGAACGAGGCACTGGATAGCGGGAGAGAAAATTTCCTGAAAAAATAGACGGGTGTAAAATAGTTAAAAAGGTATAACCATCTGGCCCACAACATATATAACTGCATGTGTACATAAATGAATAAAGTGATTTTATCGTAATAATGAACAAGCGAAAAGATTATATTAAGTTATAATTGTTTGAGCCACAACCTAGGATGCTAAGAGCACCACTCCTTGCTGCACTAACCTTAT